TGCGCTCGATGTACGACATCCGGCTCCACGACAGGAAGGTCGCGAAGGACGGCATGGACATGCGGACAATGATGAGCTCGCGCGAGGGGATCATGACGATGTCCTGATTGCGGAAGCCATTGGCATAGCAAATCTGCTCGCCGGTGGTCTTGATCATGGCCATCTTGACATGCTTCCCATAGAAGGGGTTCGACTCGGACGGTGTGCACGTGTACTTGTACCACCCTTCGGGCAGGATGCGCTTGGTGACCGTCATGCCGATGGGCTGCGAGCCATCGGGCGCCGGGGACGATGGTACCGGAGTCCCCGGCTTCAGGGCCCCCCCGCCGATGGCCGATCCGATGTTCTTCAGCTTGTCCAGCAGGGGGGACAGGATGCGTGCCTGACCATCATACCCGGGGTCCCCTCCGCCGGTGGCGTCGCCATCCCCGGCAAAGTGCTTCCCGCTGTCGACGACCACGCGCGCGCCCACCGGAGCCACTTCGTCCACCAGGCCATCGCGCATGAGCGCCAGCCCCAAGCGGGCCCAATCGCGCGCGCGTGCGTACATCCCCGACCCGCCAAGCTTGTAGCCCGGCGGGTGGGCCTCCCACTCGACACGGCGCATGCCCACCTTGTCGATGAGATTCCGCAGGGCATACTCGTGGGGCGTCTGCCCGGTGGCAGGGCGGGCCTTTTGCAAGATGGTCCGAGCCAGCAGGGTGGAGCCGCCGGTGGAGTAGGAGTAAATGAGCCCCGGGGCGAAGGCCTGCTGGCCGCCAGATCGGAAGAGCGTCGTGGCGGGTGGGCCTCCCACTCGACACGGCGCATGCCCACCTTGTCGATGAGATTCCGCAGGGCATACTCGTGGGGCGTCTGCCCGGTGGCAGGGCGGGCCTTTTGCAAGATGGTCCGAGCCAGCAGGGTGGAGCCGCCGGTGGAGTAGGAGTAAATGAGCCCCGGGGCGAAGGCCTGCTGGCCGCCGGCATAGTTGCGCGCGCAGTCCGACGTCTGGAACAGGCACTCGGGTGACCGGGAAATCTCGAACCAATCGATGCCGCTGCTCATGGTCAGCATATTCTTCCAGGTGATGCGGCGGCGCACGTCCCCCGGGGTGGCCTGCCATTCGGGCACGTCGATCGGATCATTGTCCAAATCCACATTCATGTGCCCCTGGTAGAGGGCCGAGCCGAGCATCATGTTGGTGGCGGTCTTGGTCATGGACCAGCCCAGGAACAGGGTCTGCGGGCCGATCCCCCCGCGATTGCCATATTGCTCGTGGATGATCCGGCCCCGGTGGACGATGATCACCGCACGGGGGTTGTGCGAGAGACTCATGAAGTCCGAGTTGATGATGCGCTTCAGCTTGCGGCTGTCCCATCCCCGCGTCCCGCACGCCCATCCAGGCGTTTGGAGCATCGCGCAGGGGCAAGGCAAATGCGTCAGCTCAGGCGCACATGTGCAGGCATGTTCCCAGCCATCATCCACATAGCTGAGTCCCTCTCTCTCTCCCCCCCCCCCAGCATGTCAATCGGGCGGGCTTCGAAGCCCCGGGCACGAAATTGCCCCGGCGGACGCACAGGTTCACATCGATGTCCGGTTGCGAGAGGACCATCTCCCCTTCGGGCCACTGGTGGTACCGATCGTCCGGGTACTCCTTGGGTGTCAAATCGCCGAGGTCCTCGTTCTTGACCAGCTCGAAAAGCTCATCCCCCGTCACGATGGTGCAGCCGACACCAGGGCGGTAAATGGACTTGGCGGTTTCCTTGCCGACCCTGTGGCAAGAGCGTGGCCGAGTTACGGCGCGTACATGGCAGACATTGCACACCGACGGACAAGCCGATGTTCCAGGGCGACAGCCAGCCATCATCATCATTATCGTCATCATCGAGGCGGGTGTCAGCCGAGCGGGAGAGCGGGCCACCTCGTTTGCGAGGCAGCACGAGGTGTGACGGGGGAGGAGGAGGAGGAGAAAGAAGAACCATCAAAGGTCCAAGTCCCATACCGCAACTTGGCCGTGACCGACTTCTCCTGATAGTCCACGGTCACCGTGACAAAGAGCCGGACCAGGTCGACATCCTCGCGGAAGACCGTTTGCTCATGGATGCCAGCCACGAAGACCCCGGAGCACATGATGTTGGCCGCGAAGCCGGTGAGAATTGGCCGAACATCGAAAAATTCATCCGTGTCGCTGCTGTCATAGTCGCCCTTGCGGAAGCGCGACAGAATCGTATTCGGCAGGCCACTCTTTTGGGCCTCCTCCGACAGGCGGGTCACGGTGTTCACCAGCAAATTGTACTGGTGGAGTTGGCTCAGCTCGAGCGCCGAGAGGCCCTTGTCCACGACCGGCCAGCCGCTGACATTGAAGAAGCTCTGCCATGCGGTGTTCCCACGGGCACGGGTGCACAAGGAGCCGCGCACGAATGAGCAGGCGCAGTGCAGAGGGCAGCCGGGAGGATGAAGGAGTGTGGACAGCCGGGCATGGGGGTTCGGCGATTTAGAAGGGGCGAGAGTGAGCAATTCGTCCTCCGAGTGACAAAAGAAACCCCCGGGAGAACAGGGCAGACGCCAGCATCTGCTCCCATCCGGGCGCAGGGCCGGGACAGGAAGCAAGAGGCAAGCAACAGGAGGCGGGGGGAGAGGGAGGGAGGGAGGGAG